CCTAAAAAACAAACAACAACAACTGTTATGCCCAGAATTCAGGGTCCCCAAAGACCACCCAGGAGCCGTGTACCGATGCAAATACATAAGGGAAGGGTTGTTTAATCAAGCTCGAGCCAGGTCTCTAACCTTATCCGACATTTCGGAATAGGGAAAGAGCCCCGAATTCATTGTCTGCAGAGTTTTTATAGAATTTTCAAACATCTCAGGTTTCTCAGCTTTACAATCTTTGGATTGGTTAACAATTGGCAAACTATGATATGTTACAGTTTAATTGGTCAGGGCTGGTGGTCTTTGTTCTTAGGCTAGGGTAAAGGAAAACATCTGGCCTCTGGCCATGAGCTGCCTGGCTATTTATACATATATCATTTTCTTGGAGCTAGAGTACGTGTTCAGGCTAATGTACAGAATGGAGATTGACCTTGCCTCTGGAGGGAACTAATAACTGAGGCCTTGTCTATTTAAAATGCTTTCCTGAGCCTGACTAGAGTTTAGTCAAGCAGTTTCTAGGTAGGCAAAATCAGATAAAATCAGTTTGGTCCTTACACAACTTTTTGTTGTGAATTAAGTGAAGGTTTACAGAGAGCTCTGGTAGCGTAGTGGTTACGAATCGGTCTGTGAACCTTAAGGCCACCAGTTCGAAACTACCAGCCGCTCAGCGGGAGAAAGATGAGGCTTTCTGCTCCCGTAAGTATTTACAGCCTCGGAAACCCTGTACAGGGTCGCTATGGGTCGGAACTGACTCGACGGCACTTAACAACAACATCAGTTTCACATTCAACAAATTGTATGCTTTGTTTCTTCTCAGTTGCATTCTCCTCAATGTAACATCACTCCTTCCCTGTTTTTCTTATTTCCATTCCTCTTTCTTTCCCAACCCTTCAGAATTTTGTCTTTGAGTAAATGCTGCCCTTGTGACCTCAAATAATAGACCATTCTTTTTTTTTTTAACTTTTTATTGTGAACTGAGTGATAGTTTACATGGGAGAACATCGGCTTTACACTGTACTTCCATTACAATGATTACAGTCTCCTCCGTGCATCATCATTCAAAAGTATTTGTTTCCATTCCTGCTTTTTAAAAAATTTTAAGTGGGGGGAGATGTACACAAAAACACTCATGAATATATATAATCATTTAAACAACCAAAGGGCACATTCTGCAAGCCTGCTTCCTGGCCGCCAGCACCTGCTCCCTCTCTCCACGTCCTCATCTCTGCCTCTATCTCTGGTATTGCTGCCTCTCTGGATAAGGTCCTGTATTCTGCTTGTGCTCTTCTTCCTTGATGGTCCTAGGGGCCTCTGTTTCTGGACTGTAAGATTAACTACTCCCCTGTTTTTGTTACAGAATTTCGACCTTTACAGTTGTGACAGTCACAGTTAGTCATGATTACAACTACTCACTATTGAATCATAAGACTCTTACCCCCATCTCTTTTCACCAGACCGTTCTATGGTGTGCATACCTCACTAGTGTTTTTGTTCCCGCTATATACCTATCTGTTGGCTGGCTGAAAATTGAACCTTCAAGATGAGTTCATTTCCAGACCTGAAGGGTGACCAAGGGTCATAGTCTTGGGTTTCCACCAGTTTCTGTTTGACCAGCAAACCAGAACTTTTTTATGATTCTGAGTTTTGTGCTATATTTTCGTACACTCTTACCTTTCAAAGCAGTTGATAGTGGTAGCCAGGCACCATCTCATTCTTCTGGTCTCATATACACTGATGTTCATGTGTTCCATTAGTCCATTGGACTAATTATTTCCAAGTGTCTTCAATTTCCATCACTTGTCTTTCCTCTGAGCAGACTGAGACCATAGTTGTATTTTAGATGTCTTCTCATGAGCTTTTACGCTCCCAGTCACTACCCACCAAAGTAGGATGTAGAACATTGTCTTTGAGGACTGTTATGACAGTTGACCATGGTCTTGAGCTCCCAGGCCCAGCATATAGTCCTGGTGTGGCACTATGGGTTAATATGCTGGGCTGCAAAGTTGGTTTGAATAGCAAGGTCAGCGGTTCAAGCTCACCAGCTGCTCCTTGGAAACCCTATACAGGGTCTCTGTGGGCCCGAACCGACTCTACAGCACTTACCAACAATAAGAAAAAGCTTCCATAATTTGGTCTCCCTCTAATATGCTCCATCATATTCATGTAGATATTTGTTTGCAGCAATGGTAAATGCTCTTGTATAAGTATTCGCTGTTAAACCTTTATAGATTTGTGGGTGTGTTTCCACTTTCCTTTGCATACCCATTCAGCACTATCCATGTGTATCTCTCCATGTGTCTAGCCACATTCCATGGTTGTGTATATAATATTATTTACCTTTGTATCCTTTAACTCGTACACTCCTGCTCCTGTCTTCCCTGCCTTCATCATTCTTCTGTCATCCTCCCTTTTGTTGTATATTGCCTTCCCCTTCTGTTACCTAAGTTAACACCCAAGTGTCTACTCTCTAACAAGTGGGGAGAGGAGTTTTTATTTGAATGTCCAGACTTCTGGATTGTTTCATGGGTTAGCATTTAGTCAGGGAGGGATGCTGCCCTGGGACCAATTTGGAGAGTACTAACTTGTTTCTCAGGTAAAAGTTTGTGTTCTGCTTTCCCTCCCCTCTTGGGTCATAACCAGTTGTATGCCTCTCTGGTTCTTGCCCCAGTCGCTCCCCAGTCTCTCCTCTGGCTTAAGCACACTGACTAGAATCCTTTGTAATTGGCTTCCACCGACCTTGACAGCCTGATCCCATGCTCTCCTTCATCCTGCCTGCTACTGCAGACACTTTCTTCAGGCTCAAGCTGGGCTCCCCACTGGGAATGCCCTTCCTACTTCTGTCTCCCCATCCTGTAACACCCAGATTCTGCCCTCCTTGAGTAGGAAGTCCCTCTCTCCCTCCTTTCCCCACCCCTCCAGAACCATGTTGATCTCTCTTAGCTGCTGTACTTGGTCACTTATTTTGTTCCTGCTGCCTTGCCTCTGGTGGCACAGTGGGGTAGCCACTGGCTTGCTCATTGCAGTCTGCTCCTGTAAAGATGTACAATCTCAGAAACCCTATGTAGGGTCACTATGAGTCAGGATAGACTCAGTGACAGTGAGTTGGTTTTTGTTTGTTTGGTTTGCCTCCATGAGACTGAGTTCACCTGGACTGAGGGATCCAGGGTGTATTTTGACTTGCTTCAATCATGAAACCCTGTTTCTGGGCCAGGCCCCAAACCTGGATTTGGGGATCTCTATTCAGCACTCTATTTAGGAGTCCTGGTGTGGCGCTGTGGGCTAATGCATCAGACTGCAAAGTCATTTGAACTGTAAGGTCAGTGGCTCAAGCTCACCAGCTGCTCCTTGGGAACCGTATACAGGGTCGCTATGGGTCGGAATTGACTTGACAGCACTTAACTACATCTAGCGTAGTGGTTACGAATCGGGCTGCGAACCGCAAGGTCAGCAGTTCGAAACTACCAGCTGTTCCGCAGGAGAAAGATGAGGCTTTCTTCTCCCGTAAAGATTTACAGCCTCGGAAACCCTGTGCAGGGTCGCTATGGGTCGGAACCGACTCGACGGCACACAGCAACAACAAGAAGTAACTATTCAGCACATGATCTCCATTCACAGTGAACACTGGTGGGATGTGGCAAGTGCTACTCCTGGGAGGCAGTTGTTGGTGGTATAAACAAACTTGTCAGAAAGCTAGTCCTTACATCCAGCTTGCTCTTACATCCTTAACCACAGGCTCCCCATGGAAGGAACTTCCAAATGGCTCTGCGGAACACACACAAGTGAGAGTGTAGGTGGCAAGTTGCCACCAGGAATGAACGCTGCAGCAAGTACCCTAGCTGCCAAGGCCTACAGCAGGTCTTTCGGCTTGACTCTTCGTGCATTGGGGGCACACCCTGACATGTGCACAAGTTCTCGGCGTCGTTTTGTTCACAGGGTGGGTATGAATAAACAGCGGTGATTATGTAGTAGAGGAGGAAGCCTAGAATTGCATTTTCTGCTCCAGGTGGAAGCAGCATGGTCATTCTCTTCTGTTGTGGTCCTCGTAGGTACTGGAGAGCAAGCACACTCAAAGGGGTGAGATAATTATGGCATCTCTGGACTTAAAGAGAGGTGAGGTCAGGAGCCAGGGTTGGGGGGAACCAGATTCAGAAGAAAAATTTCCCGTATGAACTTGACACTAATCCTCCTTTCTGTGCCCCCTGCAGCACCTCGAAGGCCCAGGTAGTGGGTCTTGTTACAAACCTGGTCTGAGTTTGAGTTATTATGATACTCCTCCCACCCACTGCCATCAAGCTGATTCTGATTCACAGGAACCCATTAGGACATGTTTCCAAGGCTGTAATCATTACAGAAGCAGACTGCCTCATCTTATACCTCTGGAGCAGCTGGTGGGTTGAAATCAACGACCTCTTGATTGGCAGTTGATCACTTCATCACTGTTTCACCAGGATTCCTTATGTTGCCCCTGGTGCTGTTTGGTGGCTATGTGCCGTGGAGTAGGTTCCCACTCAGCCAGCCTGGATAGGGTTTCCGAGGCTGTAAACCATTACAGGAGCAGAAAGCCTCATCTTTCTCCTGCAGAACTGTTGGTAGTTTCTAACTGCTGACCTTGAGGATTAGTAGCCCAACTTGTAACCACTATGCTACCAGAACGTCTTTATGTTACTCCTAAAAGGAACCAAATAAGTATTTACTAGAGAGATCCAGGGAATGAGTCAGAAGGTCTGAGCTCTTCCCTAGTCTCTCCCAGCTTAGTGGGCAACTCCATTCAGCAACCCTGAAGGTGGCTGGTGGCCTGCCAGCATTGGCCTTTCATGGGTCTGGGCTGGGGTCATGGTGTTGTTTTTGTTTAATTTCACCATGGCAGGGAGGGATGGGGAGTGAGCACCATCAGATGCAGTGGAGATGTGCCCTGCATGGAGGCGGTGCACCTCACTCCTGAGTCCCTCATAGCCTAATTAGTGAAGAAATGCTCATCTGAGCAGGTGGATATCCTTTTTCTTTTGCAGGACAAGGAAGATGGGGAGCCAAAATCCAAGCATCTTAGAAAAGAGGAGGAGGAAGAGGGCGAGAAGCACAGGTAATGGCCAGTGTGTGACTGAGTGTGCAACACTCTGCTGTGCTCATCTCTAAGTCCTCCCATCTCTGTGTTCAAAGTCCTTCCCTGCCCCTTCTTCTTTCCTGCATGACTGCCTGTTCTACCCGAAGATCTCAACTTCTCACTATCGGGCCTTCCCTGTCTTCTTTCCCCCAATGCTGTCCAACTCTCACTTAGCCACCATTTTTGTTTTAGCCGTCACTTCACATCTTGTCACTTGTCTTGAAAAGTGTTTGTGTTGTGGTTCCACAGTGCCTGTGAAATCAAGTCCAGATTCTTTCCTAGCTTTATTAGGGAGGTCCTACCAGGGCTCCTTCTGGTCTTTCTTAAACCAACCCTGGCTGCTCATCCTTTCTTGGACAGCGTTTCATCTGTTTACATGGTCTTCGCAGTCTGGAATTCCTTTCTCTATCTTCTTTCCCTTTAGCAAGTCGGTCTTCGTGTTGTTTTTGTTAGGTGCTGGAGAGTTGTTTCCAACTCATAGTGACTTTATGCACAACAGAATGAAACAGTGCCTGGCCCTGCTTCATCCTCACAGTCATTGTTGATCTTGAGTTCACTGCTGTTGTAACGGTGTCATTCCGTCTGTTGGGGGTCTTCTGCTTTTTTGCTGACCAAACATTATGTCCTTCCCCAGGGACTGGTCCCCCCTGATAATATGTCCAAAGTATGAGAGATGAAATCCTGCCATCCTGACTTCTAAGGAGCATTCTGGTTGTATTTCTTCCAACATAAATATTTGTTCTAGCAGCTAATGGTGCTTTTAATATTCTTCTCTAACACCATAACTCAAATGCATCAATTCTGTATTCTTCCTTATTCATTGTCCAACTTTGACATGCATATGAAGCTATTGAAAATACCATGGCTTGCGTAAGGCGCACTTTAGTCCTCAAACCGACATCTTTGCTCTTAAACAGTTTTGCTTTAAAGAGGTCTTGTGCAGCAGATTTACCCAATGTAGTACGTCATTTGAGTTCATGACTGCTGCTTCCATGAGTGTTAATAGTGGATTCAAGCAAAATGAAGCCATGACACTTTACTCTTTTCTCCACTTATCATGGTGTTATTTATTGGTCCAGTTGTGAGGATTTTTGTTTCTTTACATTGAGATGCAGTCCATACTAAAGGCTGTGGTCTTTGATCTTCATCAGTAAGTATTTTAAATCCTCTTCGCTTCAGCAAGCTCGATTGCATCACCTGCATATCGCAGATGGTTAACTAGTCTTCCTCCAATCCTGATGCCATGTTCTTCTTCATGTAATCCAGTTTCTTAGATTATTTGCTCAGTTTAAAGGCTATCTTCTTTTTCTCTCTGTGTTCTCCTCACCTCCTCACTTCTCTTCCCACAGTAATACATATAGAGTAGTTATCTTATTTTGTGAAAAGCTGTCATCTAGTTGAGTCAGCTTGTTTTCAAAATACAGCATTTGTGTGGGACTTGGACATTCTTCCTTTGGGATTCTTATATGCAGTCTACCTTATATGTAGGCCTTAAAGACTATGACCTACACAGAGCGTCAGCTATGGTTTTTGTCCAAAATGCCTGTGAAACCTTTTCAGGAGCCACTGTGGAGGGTGTGAAGAACATTCGCATCTGGCTAAGATTACCATGCTGGAAGCTTCCAGGAGAGGAGCCTCTTGCCCCTCCTCTCATATCCAACCCTGAATGAGGCCCACAAGGGTAGTTAGAGATAGCTGCCTCTGACAGGTGGCCTTGATTTCCTCCACCCTGAGCAGTTTCTTTTAGGCACAGGGCCTGCACAGGCACCTGCTGTGACTTGAAGCTCTGTATCCTGATGCTCTGAGAAACTCTGCCCTTGGTGGGCTATATGGGGGAGGGAGTGCTTCACAGAGGAAGCTGGTTCTCAGTGCTGGAGCAGGCCTTGCTAACCCCATAGCCTCATAGTATGAGTGCAGGCCCTTTCTCTCTGCCTTTTTAATCAGGAACTGACCTCAAACGAAACAAGGTTTTTCAAGTTCATGTGTGTATGAATTTTCATCTTCATATCATCCTCATACAAGCCTTATAGGGTGCTTGCCACAGCACTTAGGCTCAGAGATGGTACTGTGCTGAGAGGCTTGTGCTGATAATTAGTGGAGCCCAGACCCTCACAGACCCTCCCAGCTCAGGTCTTAGCCACAAAGCACTCTAGGGACCCTCACTGGTGACAGAGAAATGGAGGTGGGTAGTTGCTCCTTTGCCAAGTGACCCAGACTTGTGTGATTTGGGCGTGGGTGGTTGCACAGTTATCCCATTCTGTGGTAACTGCTTAGGTCCTTTGGTTTTCTTTTGTGTGTGTGTGTGGTTTTTTTTTCTGGTTCCTCGTCACTGGCTAGAGCCCAGACTGTCTTCTGTTTGCTGAGTGACCCCTTCTCTGATCCTTCTCCTCCTTAAAAGAAAAAGAAGGGTTAGTGGTTAGTAGGTGGGTAGAACTTGAAGGTTGAACCATGTGATTGAATCTCAAACATGTGGTGTTGAATGGGAGAAAACAGGTTTCAGAATTGGAACATCTAAGACAGAAACATTTAAGTCAAGTTTAGAAACACGCACACATTGTATATATATCTTGTGTGTTTTTCAGTTAACAAGTACAGTCATGCATTGCTTAATGTCCATGATGCGTTTATGAAACTGGACATTATTTGATTTGGACGTTGTGCAAACACCGTATCATAGTCTGATCCTGCTTTTTCTTTAAGCATCTTGAACAAACTTCATGCCTTAGCAGTGACCGGCAACATGCTAAGAGAGATTAGTTTTAGTTTGAACCATAATCCACGTCACTATCAATTTCTTAGTATCTGATATAGGTCCCTTTTCATAGTTATTAGCCATGTAGCTTTCCGTGGAGCCGATCCTTTATCATCTTGGAGAATTTTTTTTGTTTTTAAGGATTATTGTGATCATCTAGTGCAACTTGCCTAAATCTTGGACAGTGGCATTCACTGGTTTTTCCACCTACGTGTCATTTAAGAACTTTTTTTTTTCATTTAGTAACCATTTGCTTCACTTTAAATCAATACATCATTGTCCTTTGCTGCTTCTATCACTAGCACTGGTTTTGCTGTGTTTGGGAGCCGTGATGCATGTCATAATAATAGTTTCTAAAGAAAATGAGTTACCACTACAACATTCAAAAGGAGTCCTGGTGACGTACTGGATTACGTGTTGGGCTGCTGACCTCAAAGTCAGCAATACCATCAGGTGATCCATGGGAGAAAGATGAGACTTTCTGCTCCCATAAAGATTTACAGCCTCGGACACCCTTTATAGGGTCGCTGTGAGTCAAAAAATAGACTCCTGGGCACACCACCAGCAAGGCATTCGAGATACATGATACACGAGATGGGACGCTGCTACCTAAAAGTTGAAGCATGTACTATTTTACAGTAAGCTTTACATAAAAAGTACAGTACATACATAAGCTAGTAACATAAGCTATGGTATAGCTATCAAGACATATTTTAGGTTGTATATGTACTGTACCATTGTACACCTGGTACCACAATTACTCTGTGTACAAAAGACATGAGATACACATGTTATGTGCAGGAAATGCCTGTGTTCACTACATCTTGTTTCCTAATCAGGAAACACTCATCTGTTAGTGTGTCATACTGTGATGGCTTACGTGTGCTGTGATTCTGGAAGCTATGCTATTTTGTATTTTAATTACCAGCAGGGTCACCCACAGTGGACAGGTTTCAGCTGAGCTTCCAGACTAAGACAGGCTAGAAAGAAGGAGAGACAGACTACTTTCTTTATGTTTAGTCACTGAAAACCTTATGAATAGCAGTGGAGCACTGTCAGCACCAGAATATTGAATGTTGAAACATGATGAAGAGCCCCAGAATATTGTCAGATGTAGTGCTGGAAGATGAGTCCCTCAGTTTAGAAGGCGCTCAGAATGCAACTGGGGAAGAGCGGTCACCTCCAAGTAGAGTTGACTACAATACCACAAATGGAATAAAGCCTTCGGGACCACATTTGCTGATGGGGCACAACTCAAAATGAAGAGAAACAGCTGTGAACATCTGTTAATAGTTGGAACGTGGAATGTATGAAATATGAATCTTGGAAAATTGGACATTGTCTAAAATGAAATGGAATGCATAAACATCGCTATCCTAGGCATTAGTGAGCTGAACTGGATGGGCATTGGCCGTTTTGAATCTGTCAGTCACATGATTTACTAGGCTGGGAATGACAAATTGAAGAGGAACAGCATTGCATTTGTCATCAAAGAGAACATACCTAGATCTGTTGAAGTACGATGCTGTCTGTGATAGGATAATACTTATACACCTACAAGGAAGACCAGTTAATACATCTATTAGTCACATTTATGCACCAACCACTAAAGCCAGTGAAGCAGAAATTGAAGAATTCCTCCAACTTCTTTGGTCTGAAATTGCTCAAACTTGAAATCAAGATGTATTGATAATTACTGGTGATTGGAATGTGAAGGCTAGAAAGAAAGAGGAAGGGCCAGTTGCAGGAGAATATGGCCCTGGTGATACAAACGATGCTAAAGATCAGATGATAGAATTTTGCAAATACCATTTTTAAACACCAGAAAAGATGACTATACACATGGACCTCACCAGGTGAAATACATAGAAATCAAATTGACTACATCTGCGGAAAGAGACGTTGGAAAAGTTCCATATCATAAGCCAAAACAAGGTCAGGGGCAGAGTGTAGAACAGACCACCAATTGCTCATATGCAAGTTCAGACTGAAGCTGAAGAAAATTAAAGCAAGTCCACAAGAGCCAAAATATGACCTTGAACATATCCCAACAGAATTTAGAGACTATCTGAGGAACAGATGTGATGCATTAGACACTAAAGACCGAAGACCAGAAGAGTTGTGGGATGACATCAGTAACATACAGGAAGAAAGCAAAAGGTCATTAAGAAGATAAGAAAGGTTTGATGATGCATACAGAGGATTGTAATCATTGCAATGAAACGAA